AGTATGTTCAATAATTGCTGTGGGAAAGACATTATACCAATGATTCAGATATGCATTTTTGTGGATGCAGCAATTAGTATTATACCACCTAAAATAGTAGTCTCAAATCACAAGCCTACAGGTTTAGTATAAAGAAAAATCATAAGCTTAAAGAATTTATTCCAATTCAGGAGTTTTGCTGTACATACTCACTAAATACTGTCAATGATTAATATTCATTAAAAATCTGCTCTTCCCATCAATAATTACTTAGGGAACATTAATCAGGTTACATTTAACCAGACAGACCTGCTTTTATAGACCCTCTCCTTCCTCATACTTAAGTATTTAAAGAGTAATGAAATGAAGAAATAAACAATATCTCTTCAGAAAAGAAAATACATACTGGTCTAAAGCAATTATTACAAGAAGGAACTAGAACACTGTTTCTCCCCATTAACAAGTGTTCCTATTCCTTCTGAGACCACATTTCATGTTATTCTACTATATTTTCTTCTTGGTTACCTGCTATCACTCTACACTTCCCCCAACTCTGGCCATTTTAGGACAGGAAAGTCAGAATCCTTTTTTACTCTATCATTCCTCTATTAAGAAAGAGATTCATTTAAGTATCTTTACCATCCGACTGGTGGGGCTGCTCTTCTTTATTGGAGGACACTAGAGAGCCATAGCTGCTTCCAATCTCTTCTGGTACAGAGAAAGATAAAAAACTCCCATTCCAAATTACCAAGTACTAGATCCATAAATCCAGTGTCATATTTTACTATTTCCAAATTAGTGCTAACAGAATTCTTGAAGAACAAATGGATCGGTGTTACATTTATTCTCAGGAAGTAGAGAATATATATATCCCTACTACCAGTCTTATATAAAATGACTTTTCATAAAGATGATTATTAGTTTAAGACTTGTAATCGCATATCATCCCTTCCCCTACAGAGAAAATACAAGTGTTACTAAAATAGCTACTTGGAATCTGTATTATCCATGACATATAAGCACCTATGTTTTCTTAAAAAAATTAACCAGTGTTTGGCCTATATGACTTAGTTCAAATAAAATTATAAACAACATGTCATAGTGAATATTAATGGCCATGCTCCTACATGCTTTCAATTTGGGGCATTTCAGGTATTTTGCAAAATCATAAGCCTTTTTGGAAATATTTAGTTTCCTTTAGAGTCATGTTTATGAATAAAGCGTATTTTAGTAATTGGTGTGGCATCACTGATGAATGTACCAATATCAGTTTTTATACTAATGTCACATATATACGATTTTACATTTTGATTACTAACTTCTAAGAATACTCTGAGGGGCTTAGATAAGCAGAAGCTGGTACCTACTGTGTGATTTACACATCAAGTGTAACAGGGGAAAGAGCAAAATTACCTCCACAATTCAAGAGATCAATGCAAGCTCCCAAGAAATATAAATTCAAGTAAGAATCTTCCATTTTTCAAGACTTAAATGCAGTGAGACTTTCATATATTAAATAACAACAGAGCTCTAAGAATTACCTATAGGTTTTACAGTAAAGATTAACAGTTCTGCCTCCTGGTATACATTTACATAATCTTCTCAAACTTCAAGTAAAAAACAAAAAGAGGGAGAATTTCATTTATAATACATATATAAAAATGTACAAATAAAATTCGTATTTATAGCATATACCAGGACATACCACTTAACAGTCACAATTTATAATACTTTATAGTAGTCATTAGCAAACTACACAAATAACACCATTAACAGGGCAATATAGAGATATCTGCCACCAAGGGATCCTTAAAATCAGTTTTCACTCTTTCACTGCAGATGACAGTTCACAATTGCAGCCATTCATAAGAGTTCCTGGAATGCGGCCTACAGAGTTCACATTGGTCAGCTATCTATGGAAAGCAATCTGTACTGTGTTCCTTTTCCAAAAAGGCCAGTAATATTATGCACCCCCCCTCATTTACAGAAAAGGAATCTGTTAAGTGTGTAGGTAGTTTAAACAAATTTTGTAATGTTCACTGTAAAAGAGACTACATTTTTTTAACGAACTATATTCTTGACCATCATTATATCCACCAGTTTATACAAAATCAATTTGAAGAGTCTTAGCCTTTCTAATGAGAATGGCTAGAAAGATATATAATCTATGTTAATTAATATTTTAGAGTCAATAGGTAATGATAATTGAGAACTTTTTGCATATACAACCATCAGTCCTTTTAAGGTGTGATAATATTGAGATGCATTATTAATATGGCTTTTTTTTTAATATAAATGATCTCAAAACTGAACCAATATAGAGCCTTGTACTAGGGAATGTAACCAAAATCACAAGATAGAGTTTTCAATATATCAACCTAAACCACCTCAATCCTTTTGTTAATCTTCCACTTTCCTCCCTTTTCTCAAAGAAATAGACTATTTACTGAAGTCTTAGATTTTTTTCAAAAGCAAAGATTTTTTACAAATATTTCCTTAGGATCTGAAATTTATCAACAAATTCACAAAATTTAAGTCTTTAATTTGTTTTATTTCACTTATGAATGACTGCATATAAAACTGCATTCAGATTTTAATTTAGCAAGGCAACTCAATATCATCATATTAAAATTAGGATTTTTTGTTAGATAGTACTATCTCCTCAAAAGTACTCATCTCCATAATTTAAACATATGCCTGGAAAACTGTATCATTTAATTTCCAACATAAAATGTTAAAACACTCTGTTTTACAAAGGCTTTCCATAAAAAAAAAAAAAAAACCCAAAATACTGTTTTTCTACTTAATGGATTTATTCCTTCACCAGGTATGTTGGTCCAGTGACAAAACAGTCAAATGTGTAAAATTACATCTTGGAAACCAGTATGTGAAATAAAAACGCAATGAAAGACTATAACAAAAATTAGAAATGCACATTTGATAAACAATGTAGATTTTAAAAGATAAGGGTGAGGGAAGGAAGTACCATATTTAAAATAGGACTACACAAACATCAAAACCCCTGCACTGGATTAATTAACTGTTGCAACTGGTAAGAACACTGATAAAGTAATATGGGTAGTTCAAATATTCACAAGTTTGGAAATGAGATTTTAAGAATTATCATAAGAGGAGAAATAAATGCATCTTTGAGGTCATACTCTAAAGAATATACCTCAGAGTTTCCATTTACCTACAGAACTCTCTGCTTCATGCTATATCATCAAATTGAAGTTCTGAAGAATATAATTATGTACGCTGTAAACTGAAAGAGGTGTAAAGAGGAGGGAAAATGTATTCATTCACGTGTGCATGCCTGCACGTGTGTGTGTGTGTGTGTGTGTATGTGTGTGTGTGTATGGAAAGGGGGAGAGGTCGGGAAACCAGTCATCATTTCTTGAAGAGATATGGGGCAATGTACAGGAAGACAGAGGTAAGCAAAAGGTTATTTACCAACTCATCAGAAAAGAAAATTGGCTTCTGGCAGCTACAGAAGGGAAGATGCTTGTTGACTATTACCAAAGGTGAAAAAATAAACTCAATCTGCATTTCAAGTGTGCCCCTATGGGTGAAAATGGGAGCAACTATAAAAGTAGAGGGATTTTTCTGAGGGGCTTGTGGAATCAGTTTCTTTACTTGGTAGTCCCATGTATAAAAAATTTCTCAATGACTGGCTAGCTGAGCTCACTATGGACACGTGGTATTCTCTAAGCGTTCTCAAGTAGAAGAAAGACTCCCCATTAAACAAGTCACCTACAATAAAAGATGAACTTTGAAGATAAATGAATTTCAGTGAACATCTTTCAAACCAACAGAAGTAAATAACAAAAATACAAGAAATTGGAAGTTAAAAAAATGTGAAGGAACTCAGAAGAAACATAGGAAGAAAAAGCTTTAACATAATTATCTCATTGTATTCTTCTACATATCAATTATTCTAGAAATCCATAAAATTAATTTTGATCTTTTAAAAACACCTAAAATTAACCACTCTCAAAACAAAAACCCCAGCAAATACATGTCTAACTGTAAAATACCTGAAACCTTTTCCTGTAATTTTTACATGTAATTTAAAAACATTGTTAACAAGTCAGCTTTCAAAAATTTGCTATTTGTGTATATATATATATAAATAAATATAATATCCATGTGACATTTCCTTAAAACCACTAAAATTTCTCATCAAACCATAACATCAACTGTTGTAGAACGGGTGTAGAAAAACACCAATTTTCACTTAAACCCTTAAAAAGCATCCCTAAATACAGGGAGCCAATTATTGACAGTCATACTTTTACTGTAAAGTTACTCTTAATTTCAAGAACTACAGCTTTTACTATTGTTAAAGAATCTCATACCTCCCTTTCCTATAGTAAAAGGGCTGGTGGAATATAAGAACATCTTTCCAATACATTTTTTTGCTTAACCAAAAGAAAAAAGAAAAAATAGTCGTATCTTGGGAAGCCTCATGACCTTCTACCCCCTTTTATTAAAAGGCTGAACTAAGCATGATCTTCAAAGCTGGATTTGACATTTCACCATTATCTCTCCAGCCTTTCCAGACACACTGGAGGAGATTTCTCACATGGATCTTTTTTTAACTAGAGGTCCTTCTGGTTTTCCAGAATGGAAAATTTGTAAATAATTTTATGTCTCAGCCTCAAAACTCACACTGATAAAACTCTCTGCCCTTAAGTGTTCAAGTGTGATTAATATCTAAAGGGGCAATATTATGAAAGCATAACATACTAGCTGCCACCTTTAAATTATAAAGATTAAGCTAAAATTCACCTTTTGGAATATACAATCCATCCCTACCCATTTTAGGGATGACTGTGACAAGACCAACTCTCATTACACTTTTACATCAGCAACCTAAATCAATTTTACACAAACTTAAGTTTTATATTTAAAAACGTTAAGGGCCTCAAGTGAAAAAAGAAATCTCCCTAGAGTTGCATCCTAAACAACAATGTTGGCCAAGCATTTCTAACAAATATTTAAAACAAAGATTTCCATACCTGTCTTCATCACCATCAACGGGAATAGCTATGCCGAACACAGAGGTGGCCAGACTGTTCATAGGTGTTAACTGAAGGGGGTTTGCCAGGGCATCTGTAACAGGAGGCTTCACAACAGGCTTATTTTCAGCAATGAGAGAAAGTGGTGGTTGAGGTAGGGGTTCTGATTTTCTTCTAGTATCGTCAACTTGCCCGACTAAAGGCTGAGTCTGAGCCTGAAACTGGCTTAGGTCAGATTGTGGTAGACTTGTTGGTGCACTGTGTGTGCCTTGCACTAAGGGCAGCCCAACATGCTGGATAATGCTGCTGCTCCTGCTAACTGGTGTATGGCTGCTCTGCTGCTGCGACTGGGCCAGAGGCGCGGGTACATTTGGCATAGTAACAGAAGTGGTAGACACACTAGGCACGCTTGGAGCGGGCACGGCTGCAGGCACGTTTGGAACTCCGGGCACCATGGCGTGAGGGCCACCAGGTACGGCTGACAGCGGACCACTGCCACCCAACTGCGGCGGAGGCACGGACTGGGGCTGCCCTGCCCCTGTAGGACCCATGCACGGCTGCACCACGCCTCCCACAGCAGCTGGGGGCACTCCAGCTGGCTGACAAGGCGCCGCCTGCCCGCCTTGCGCTGGTCCTGGCCCCGGGGCTACGGCTTCACTGGGCAGGGAAGACGCCCCCATTATCTGCGCACCCGCTGAGGAGGCATTCTGGCCGGTGCCCACGGGAAGGCTGGCCGCCGAGGCAGGGCTCGCTCCGGCACCCGTGGACGAGGGCTGTGCAGGGCTTGGCGGCTGCAGGCCGGCCACGTGCTGCTGCAGATACTCACTTTGGCCAGAGGGCTGGACGGGCAGCAAATGCCCCGGCGGTATCTGCGGCTGGGGATACGCGAACTGCTGGGGCTGCTGCGTTGCAGTAGCGCCGACGGTCAGGCCCTGCTGCGAAGGCAGGGACATGGCCGGCTGCGCCAGGGTTACATTCGTCGGAGGCAGACCCTGTCCACCCGGCCCCGTTCCCTGGGGCTGACTTAGCTGCGCGGCTGTCATCATTGGCTGAGGCCCGGCCGCGGCTCCCGAGAACGGCGGTAGTGGAGCCGAGCTTTGAGCCACAGCCCCACCTACGGGCGGCGGCGGCTGTGGCTGCCCAACGCTAAAACTCTGCGGCTGGGCCGGAGTGGGCTGGCTCATTTTCTCTGACGGGGGTAGCTGTGACACAGCAGTCAAGGAGCTGTCAGTTCCCGAGTCGGGCCCGTGCGCCCCCTGCACGGAGGCCACCACTACCACCACCGACCCTCCGGTGGCGCCCAGGCCGCTGTCCCGCTCTGCAGTCTGGTCAAAAGTATTGCTGTGTCTAATGCAATCCCCGGACCTGGTTAGGACGCTGCTGTCTGAATCCCGCTCATAGTATTCCATACACGTCCATCGGCCGCGTCGATAAGGTTCCCCGCTCCCGTGGTCCAGCTTGATCACGCGAAAACGGGAACTACAAGTCGTGGGAGGCTGAGCCGGGGCTGCAGCCCCTGGCCCGGCAGATGGGCCCCCGCCCGGTGCTCCGGAGGCGGGGGCTGAGGTGGCAGCCGCCGCCAGGGTACTGGCGAGCGCCCCAGCCACGCTCCGGGCTGAAACGGCTCCTCCTCCGTTGGCGGGAGCAGCCGCTGCGGCCGCCAGCTGCCCATCCAGGAGTAGATTTGGGGAGACGGTCCCAGGAGTCTCTGCATCCCCAACATTGTTGAGCGTCTCTTCAGAGGAGCTGCGCTCGCAGACCTCCTCAGGGCCATAATCCGTGGCCCGAGAGACGTCGAAAATCTCTGAGGAGACGTCCTCTGTGCGTGACTCGTCCGGGTCGTCCAGGCTTTCGGTGTCCTCCGTGATGCTAGTGGCCACCTGGGCCGTGGTGACACTGGTGATCTGAAAGCAGCTCTTCTTCTTGGCCGGCATCTTGGACATGGTGAAGGCTGGAGAGCAGAGAGGCACGCCGGCTCCTCTGGGATCCTGCCGGAAACTGGGGAGGGCAGAGCACGGTCCCCCAAAGACAAAGTCCGAGTCCGCGCTGGGGTCTGAGGCCCGCCGCTGTAAGAGTCACAGGCTGATCCGGGCCCCGGCCGCTCGGTGAGACATCCTCCTCCCCGTTTCCTTCAGTGTCGGTCTCTTCGGCTCTGCTCCCTTCTCAGTCCCGCGGCGGCTCCTCCTTGCTCTTTGCCGCCCGCAGCCGCGGCGCCTCAATTCAATCCCCTCTGTGGCGGCGAGAGCGCGATCTCAGGGGCGGGCCGGCTGCTTCCTCTCCCGTCTCTGGGCCGCCGCGTTCAGTCCAGCTCCGCGCGGTCAGCAGGCCTTGGCTGGGGGTGGGAGTGGGAGGGAGAGGAGGAGGAGGAGGAGGAGGAGGAGGAGGCGGCGGCGGCGGCGGCGGCGGCGTGAGGGGCGGTGCTGCCCCGCTCGGGCTCCTCAGGCCAGTGCCGGCGTCCGCTCTGAGCTCTCCGACTGAGGGAAGAAGGGGAAGGAGTGGCGTGTCCGGAGCCGAAGATTCCTAATTCAGCCAGGAGCCGCGGGCCGGGGTTGGCTGAAGGTCCGCGGACAGGCGGCGGGGCTGCGGCGCGGGCGGGCGGCCCTTCCTCCCCGGCTCTAGCCGGAGCTCAGCCCCAGGGACATGTCGACTGTCTCTGGCGGAAACCCGCTCTGGGGGAGGGGAAAGCCGGCTCGGTCCTCCCCTTACAGGGGGAGCCACCCCCGCGGGCGGCGGCGGCGGCGGCGGTCTCGGCCTCCCCTCGCGGCTCTTGAGAGAGTGAGGGGCGGCGGCAGACCGCAGGCCAGCGAGCGGAGGCGCGCCGCTGTGTGAGGTAGCGGTGGCTGCTTCTTCGGCTCCTCCTTGGTGCGCCGGATTCGTACCAAGAGAAACTGAAATTCAAACTGCTGAAGCGGCGGCTGCAGCTCCCTCCCCTCGGCCAAGATGGGGCTGAAATGGCCGCGCCAGGGATGCTGGGAGGAGCAGCAGCCCCGTGGCCGCCGCTGCCGCCGACTAAAATGCCGCCGCTGCCGCAGCCACCGCCAGCGCCGCAGCCGCCGCCGTTCCGTGACGCACCGGCGTCGTGACGTCACCGCCCCGCCCCCTCTGGTTTCCTGCAGTTTCGCGTGGAGGCTGGGGGGGGAGGCGGTGGGCGGGGCTAAAGGTTAAAAAAGGGGAGCGGTTTCTTTATTTAAAATTTTTAAATTTAAAATTTGCGCTGAAGGTTAAGTGTTGAAGAGCGAAAGACAATTTTAAATTCCAAGCCAAGAGAAGCTTACAGTTGCGCTAATCAAATGTTTTTATATCGGTTTGTTATGAGACACTTGAAGACTGGAGGTCATGTGCTGCGTCTAATGTTTAGCAAAATCTTAGTGAAACGAGGGCGGTAGGAATGGGGGTTGGGGTTTTAGATGGAATAAAGAGGGATACGGCTGGAGTAACTGAACCGCTTAAAAAGTCCTGAAAAAAAAATGTTGACCACTGTAGTCAGAGGAGTGAAATGTCGAGAGAAATAGGATGATTAATCAAGAACAGCAAGCCAGACTGAGTCAGAAAAATGATTTTTCAGCCAGAAATTCTGTCTCCAACAACGGCATCAGGGGATAGTTACTTGCCCAGGGTGAAGTCAGTTTAAAAAAAGATTAGGGGTTACCAACATATTCCTAAATTTCCCAAATTTGCTGTGATTCCAGGATTGAAGAGTTCATTTAAACTCTTGGACTGTTTTTACTTTCAGCACGAAATCAGCTTACGGGCTCCATAAATGTAGAACCTACTGCGTTAAATAGTTATAGTTCTTCCTTTTGTTTATTCTAAAACTCTTAGTTGGAGCCAAGGTGTTATATGGTTTGGATTGGGCCATGAACAACCATAAAGTCAGAAAGCACCCTTTCCTGTCCTAATATAAAAAGCAGCTATGAAAATATTGGCAAATTTATCATCTTATAGCTACTTTCTGGTCAAAAAAAAATGGTAAGGCCATTCTTTTAAATAGTTAAAAAATTGAGGGTGGGCTCTTGAACTTTGACAGACTAAAGAAGTCGTCATTTAGGTTAAATCTAAGAAGTCTTGCTGGAAATCCAGATTTCATGTTTTCTGCAGCTTCAGTAATCACATCATGATGACCTAAATCAGTAAATCGTTCTACTCAGTTCTCTAATCTTTGAAGACAAGAAATACTTTTTATCCCAAAAGATGTTTTGAGAACTAAAATTTTCAGAAAATTGTTTAGGTGCTTAGATGTAAGCAATATATAGAGCTAGATCTTTTAACCTTAGTAAAAATCATATTCTCCTAACCCAAGTGACTGAGGTCAGGATGTGAAATAAGACCACATAATAACATCCCTGTTTCTTAAGGGGGTGAGAGACAGTAAAGGAACAAAGTGTAACATTATGCTACTATTGTGGCAAGAGATAGCTAATGGAATGTTTCACTTCTAAATCTGAAATTTCAGTTAATTGTTAGAGACAGTTTTCCATCAATAAATTGGATCAACTTGTTAAAATAAATCCAGTATGAATTTATAAAAGATAAATTCAATTTTGGATTGCTTTACCAGATTGCTTAAAATGGTTATCAATGGGTGGTGTTTATGGTGTGGCTTTTGGAGAGATAAGAATGGTATGCCTGCTTATTCCTTTATGTTATCTTACCACATAAACTTCTAAATTACTTGTTATGATACTCTTAAATCACACATTTCAAGGAAAAATCTTGAAGTAAGGCCATTCCTCCTTAAAGAATATATAAAGGATTTATTGTGAAATGAAAATAGAGAAAGATAATTTAGAAGAGATCAAGAATTGAGCTAAAAGTCTGGTAAGAAGTGGGTTAAAGATGTTAAAAGACATCTTCAAAAAATATGACTTATAAATTAAAATGTTTCATTTAGATGGTTAAGGATTTGTGTGTGTTCTTTTAAAAGTAATATTTTCCAAAAGTTTAAAGGCCCTAGCTATTTTTATACATTTGCCCTTAAAGGATGTGGAGAATTTATTGCATCAAACTGCTATGAAGAAATAATAAGAATTCTGATTGTTGCAAGTAAGTCTAAAATCAATGTACAGAGGACAGAAATTGATATAACTATATCCAAACTACAAAAATCTATGTAATTCATAAATTGGTCCACAAAGAATTAAAAGCCTTTAAATAACTTATTAAGATAATAGAAAGCAGGAGATAATGTGCAAGTACCTATTCTCTGTGTTTGGAGAGTTATTAGTCTAACTCACTAGAATGAAGAGGTTTTTGGAGTCCCAAACTTCAAGACTAGGAGTCAATGCAGTTATTTGGTTCCATGCCTGCACCCAGAAACAATACATGGAGACTATGGGAATCCTTAACTACTTTTAAGAGCCTCCAATTTGACTATCCTATACATCTGGGGTCCCCATTGCCCAAGTCACTGATGAGTACTGGTCCATGGCCTGTTAGGAACTGGCCCCACAGCAGGAGGTAAGCAGCAGTGAGTGAGCAAAGTTTTATCTGTATTTATAGCTGTTCTCCATCCCTTGCATCGTTCCTGAGCTCTGCCTCCTGTCAGATCATTGGTGGCATTAGATTCTCACAGAAGTGTGAGCCCCACTGTAAATGGCGCATGGGAGGGATCTAGGTTGCCCTCCTCGTGGGAATCTGATGCCTTATGATCTGAGGTGGTGATGCTAGCATTGGGGAGTGGCTGCAGATACAGATTGTTATTAGCAGAGAGGTTTGACTGCACAATAAATGTAAATTAGCCAGAAATCATCCCTACCTCCATCCGGGGAAACATTGTCCTCCATAAAACCAGTTCCTGGTGCCAAAAAGGTTGAAGACCGCTGCTATACATGGTACTTTGCTCAAAGATTTCAAATTGCAGCAATGTATGGGCAGTATGTTTAGAAATAACAATGCAGGGGTAAAAAAAAAAAAAGCCCTTAAAAACTAAGGACTGTTTCCACTGATGGAAAAAAAAAAAAAAACCTGGTGCAGCAAGATCTTTTCATTATTTATAAACACCATACCCCAAATTTTACTAGGTTGTTATCTAACCATATCAGTACCAGATGGTGAATTATTTCGTAGTCACAAGATCCTGGAATGTAAATTGCAGATACGAGAACCTGACTTTTTTTTCAATGAATGTGTATTATACTTAAAATAATAATGGTACATTAATCTAAATGTTCTAGGATAGAGTAAGGAAAATTATACTTTATGTAATAAAAAATTAAGTAACTGTCGAGGCTAAGAGAAGCAACCCTTTAGCAGTAAGACTAAAAGCTAGATACATTGATTCAACATTCCCTGTGTACATTAAGAATTGGACAGCTTGTATCCCAGCCAACAAGTTTTTCTGAGATTTAGAAATAGCTTATGTTTATTTTCTATGTTTTTATCATTAAATTGTTAGAAAAATATAAAATGGAGGAATAATTTGCAGGTTTCAAAAAGCATTTAAACTCTTGCAGTGAGACCATTGTGTGATATTATCCAAAAAGGAAAAAATAATGCAATGAAAAAGGATTAAAGCTAATGAAATTCCATGAATACTTTTATAAAGGAAAACATAATCTAAGATGCACATAATTTGAGATGCACAAATTTTTACTTGAGAATGAGGTGTTTAAGATTTCCACATTTAAAATGTGTGGAAATGTGCTCTTTTAGAGTTTGATATACTATAAAACGATGATATCTTTTTTTTAATAGTGAAGATTTTCTTGAGTCCCAAAGATCTTTGAAGTTCATGCAAACATAGCAATATGAAGAAAGAAAAGGGTGCATTTTGAACTAATAATAGATATAATGTTCTATTAAAGCCTGTTTTATTTTATTATGGAATTTAATTTAGAATCTAAAATATTAGCTCTGTGGCTGTATTGTCTAGTTTATGTGCTGCAATGTAGGGCAACACAATCTATTAATCTATAATAGACTATTTTTTTTAATTTAACATTTTATGTGGCTACTTGAGATAAAATTTAAAAACTCTGCATTTCCTAATGGGAGAGATCAAAAGCAAGCTCCAGTTTTCCTATAAACTTGTTTTGTTATTGCTGACAAGTCTATCAAGCCACTCAATGTGATACTATTGGCAATACCGTTTTTAATACTGTTTGCTAATAAAAATGAAAGCAGTGACTAGATAGCCATGATTTTATGAAGATGCCATATTCTGTCATGGATGAGCTAGTTCTTCACAGACATTCAATGGCATATCCTTTGATAAGGTGAATCATCACCATTTATTCTGTCTTTTTTGTGTATGAATTTAGTGTATAGCTTAAAGTGATAATATACCCGTAATTTGAATTTATAAAACTTTAATACTCACAAAAGAACATTGAAAATCATTGCCAATTTCTAGACTTCTAGGTTATAATTCCCTCTTTGTGTTACTATTAATACTATCTGCTTATAAAGTTTAAAAAATACATGGGAGTGTAGTTACTTGTATAAACTGAATTTAGATATGAAAGATGGCCTAAATGCTCTTGATTTATGATCTGAAGGTCATTCTAACCTGGGTGATCAGACTACTTTTAATTCATAGGAGCCACGGGTTGAAAGACAGATAGAATCTTGACTAACTTACATTCCTAGTTATGTTTTTAATTCTAAACATACATGGCTCCTTTCAGTATTGGAAAAAAAATTTTAGCATATAATTTAGAATACTAGGGGGGGGGGCCTGGAACCCACTTGAACAGCATCCATCATCATCCAGACATCAACTGTGCTTTTGCATAAGATTGGGTTTCTTAAAATGGTCATGGTAATTTGCTTCTCTGCAAATTAATACTCACTCCACTACCCGATCTTAACCTGGGATTTTGAGGAGAAGGAGTCCACTGAAAGACAAGGCTGGAACTGCAAACATCAACGGTGAAAAGTTAACACAGTTTGTTCAATTTTGTGTCATTAATCCCTCAACGATCATAATATAACACAATATTGTATGACCCCGCACCATTTGCTGGCAGTTACCTATTGTCTAAAACTCAGTTGACTACAATGCTAAATGTTTTCATCTTCCAATGTCTCAGAATTCTTTCCTCCTTAT